CAGATGTCATTCATATTGGCTATTAATGGCATTAACTGATTGCTGACGTCATCATTACTATGATGTCATAATTGTAACGTTAGAAACCTTCTCTTGACAGATGACTGTTCTATTCATTGAACAAACATAATTATACGATTCATACTTTTTTTGAACTAACTGCTGAATGACAATAAGAATTTTATTTTCTATGAGATAAACAGATTCCCAAACATATTAGTATAAGTATTGAACTACTTTTAGTTGGCATCCATAGGCAATATGAATGCCAACTGGACAACGAAAGATCCAATATACAGTGCTTAAACATACGTTGAATTTTTTAAGGCTATTATCATGACATGATTTACCACAAAACATCAATATCGAGTGAGGTTTAAGACTTGCACACTGTATCTGAGATCGTCAATGAGATTTATACATGTACTATCCTGAAATTTACATGGATATTGTTCTTGATTTTTTACGTCTGGTGTCTTAAAAGTCTGTTTTCCTCTCTGAATCCTGAATCAAAGTTTTCCTATGTATTGACGCTGTTTGACATGTTTACTTTTTCTGATATTATTAGCGATGTTATTAGAAAAAATGCACTTTATTAAAATTAAATTTGTTGTAATTAAGAAAATTAATAACCTTTCAGATTTCTTTTAATAGAAAAATAAATAACAAATCACACAGAACAAACGTAAAGTGGAGACTGCGATATCTTTGCAGATTAGATTTTTAAACAACAGCAAAGTTATTTTTATAATTATGTAATAATTTGCATCAACCAATTTAATTACACCATATTATTTGAAAACAACCCGGGTATGTTCTTTAAGCGAGAATCTCTTCTTACAGACGTATTGGTAGAGAAAAATATCAATAATAACAAAAATGGCGTTTCTCGATGTAACACCACGGATACACTCAGTTATCAATGCTCCAAAGACGTGTACGTCGATATTCATTTAATGAGATTGATGTTTTTTTATTTTAAAAACAAATTTGATCTTATTAATGTGTAAACTTTTCAACATAAAAATAACTCAGTGTAATAATTGTTATATGTTCCTGTACATTATCACCTCGGTTGAAGTACTATTTTTCTTTAAACCTAAATATTAGTTCAGCATTATCACCTCGGTTGAAGTAATATCTTTCTTTAACCCTAGATATTTGTTCAGCATCCATGGATGTGTCCTCAGATACCGTATTAATGACAACTACTCTTAGCTCTGTGATATTTGAAATGGAACTTGATTCTTTTTACATTTTTTCATTATCAAAGACATCAACTCTTAACCTATCATATTATAGTCTGTTTCCACTTTACGAGTTCCTCCATCTGTTAAAACCTTTACTTTCAGTGACTTTATTGTTTTTAACCTCTCATATTTATCATTATACTTTCATTCTGACTTGATTAGGAATTGTTTAGATAAAATGCTAACCACATATGAAACATAGCTTCTGATACCCCCTGAATGAAAAACACTTCGGTGAATTGGATATCTTTATACAATGTCTACCCATTTGGTATTTCTTCACACTAACTGTCTTGACTCTTATCCCTTGTGGAAACTTTTTTTGACTACCAGAATTACAAACCATATCACTGGAATCGTAAAAGGATCAAAACCATGAGATGGAAACGACTAGAAATACATTTCTATCACACAGCTCTAGTTGATATACTAGCATGACGTATGAAGAATCCTTCCTTCTTACTTCTAGTAATTGTTTCAAAGAAGAATAAAGTGCATCTAAATATATTTATTTTTTGCTACAAGTACCTTTATTAACACTCCCAGAAGAAAATGCATTCATAAAAATATGAACGAAAAATAATCAGTGTCACATTAAAACCTCTCCTCCCACTTTTATGATGGAGACCAAATAGAGAAACAAAGAGATAGACGACGTTCGAAAAAAGCGTTTACATTTACAGTAACTTCCATACCAAAAACACATTTCAAAATGTTTATATTTGGATTACTAATAACTATTTATTTAGAATGAAAACATACGCACACGTGTATTGTCCGAAGTTTTTTCACAATCGTGCCGGTCTACGCAAACCGGTAAAAACCTATATTCAACATGAATTGGCCTTCATTGTATTTGTTTTGATTTGCGTTCAAACCAACATGAAAGCAAAAAACAACTGTTCAATAACTAAATTAATGTTATTTTTACGTAATTTTACGTGAATGTACAATGTAACAGTATAGAAGTAACCCCTATTTGGTAGCCGAAGCATAATGTCTTCCTGACATAATATTTGTTGCATTTGTACCTTTTGAATTAAAAATAAGATATTTTTGTTGATTCCTTGTAGATTTATCTGCCAGTTGCTTGACGTTCGTTCTCGGTGAACAAATTAAAACGATGCATTACGAATAAAGAGATGAAAGTGTGAAAGCGTTTTTGTAATTGTTCGAATTTGATTTATTTAATCAATACACACAGAATATTCCTGTTTAGATACTTTATCTAAAGGGTTTCCTCGCTGTTTATATTTGATTGGTTAACTAATGAATTCAAACCCTAACGATACTTCATTAAGTTATGAAGAACTTTTTTTAAGTTATACACATACATTTTGTATTAACCATTTCAAACTAAAAGTATTTTCATTTCTAGTATTTGATCAATCTTGATAAAATTATGCTGGCTTGTTTTTTTAAACTTGCTTCTGATAAGTATATTATCTAAATAAGATAATTAGGTATTAAATGCGTCTCATTTTCTCAGAGAAATTAACATTCAGATTTTCGTGTGGTCAACATTTTTAACGATTTTATATAGAAAACATCAACTTCACTATAAAATTTTATAACCACATGTGTTAACGAAACATTGATATATCATATAATTACACAATAATATTTGTGAATGGCATTTTCAAAAAATATTATTTATAAATCAAAATGAAACACCCGGTGAACTCTACAAGAAAATGTTGTCTCCGAGGAAGATATTGTCTTAAAATAAAAAATAAAAAAACAATCACCTCTTTCCTGTTCAACACAGTACAATATGACCTCCAGCAAGCTAGCCAGCAATACAGGACAAAGAGAGTACAATGAGCTATAAGATAATGAAATTCAACAATTATTGCTTTAAGGTGAAAGGATTGCTTTGGATGGTTTCTCTTGTGATCAAACTACAATCAATATTAAGTATCAATTTTGGTAAATACTTAAACCTTAGGACAGTCATTCCCAAAATATGCCCTACCCTATGGGCAATACAATGATAATACCAAGCTCTTTCATGACACTATTATTTTGTCCTCCAATATTTCCAAGTAAAGGTTTAAGGACGTTAATCACTATTAACTGCAAATGGTCACGTATGCCTACTCAAACAAAGCAATTACTATATTTAATTATACATTTAAAGATTAATTTCCTGTAATATCATATGATGCCAAATGTTATGACAGGTTCCCCCCATTTCCAGTTGAACACCTAATCGCATCACTCGGGTGTAATCTTAAAGTACTGGATGGTACTATTCCGCTCCAGTATAACCGTAATCATATTGGCTCCAAGATCAGTTTCTAATCTGCCACAAAGTTAGTGTCATAACTTGGGAAGGAACATCATCTTTGATTAAATGTTGTAATGACCTAATGCCAGTCGGAGCTGATGGGGGGATTTGCACATTCTAACTCTATAACCTCACTTAAGTGTATTTTAAACACAAAATGAAATTACTAGATCCCTACCAATCTGTAATGTAATGTCTTTTGCCTTTAGCAGAAACAATTGCTTTTCGAAGAAGTGAATTCTCGTTCTAACGACTTTTTAAGTTTTCTACATGAGAAGATGTAGAAGTTCTAATTCCGAAACCATATGGTTTAATTTCAACTGTCAACTCTTCGGTCATTAAGTTTAAAATATTTTCAACAATTTCAACTTTAAGACCCAAATAGTATTATGACAACACATTACCATCAATTTTCGACCTCATATATGTTCATTAGCGTTCAAAGTTGAAATTAAGTGACTGGAATTTTCGTAATTTAACACGTATGTATGGCTGGTAATCTCGACGGCCGAACGAAGACACGAACGTCTATAGGGAATTTATAGTAAGTTCTATCTGCACCCATTAAATCTTTGTACGGTATTCCCACTCCGTTTCAAAGTACAATAAGACATAGAGGTACTACTGTGTACTGAATTTGTACCGGATTTCGCCAGAGTACTCATACATTTACATTGTAAATGCCTCCAACTGTGGAAGAAGTTATCCATTTGTCCGCATCATATCCACTAATATAGTGTGAATATCCACATGATAGGAAGATCATTCCGTTTAACTCAGGGTATTATTTTAAGAAGTGTGAATATCCCCACGATTTTTAGATCAATGANTGTACGTGTATGACACTAGAACACTGTATGTGTATAATACCAGAACACTGTACGTGTATGACACTAGAACACTATACGTATATGACACTAGAACACTGCAAGTGTATGACACGAGAAGACTTACTTGTATGACACTAGAACACTGGACGTGTATGACACTAGAACAATGTACGTGTATGACACTAGAACGCTTTCTGTGTATGACACTAGAACATTGTACGTGTATGACACTAGAACACTGTACGTGTATGACACTAAAACACTGTACGTGTATGATACCAGAACAACGTACGTGTATGACACTAGAACACTGTATGTGTATAATACCAGAACACTGTACGTGTATGACACTAGAACACTGTACGTGTATGACACCAGAACACTGTACGTGTATGATACCAGAACACTGTACGTGTATGACACTAGAACACTGTATGTGTATAATACCAGAACACTGTACGTGTATGACACTAGAACACTATACGTATATGACACTAGAACACTGCAAGTGTATGACACGAGAAGACTGTACTTGTATGACACTAGAACACTGGACGTGTATGACACTAGAACAATGTACGTGTATGACACTAGAACGCTTTCTGTGTATGACACTTNCATTAGCCCGTGTGAAAGCAACACCAGAGTAAATTAACGTTCATATTTGTCATTCATAAGATTAACTCTACAAAACGTTTCTGTTTCTGTAATTGTAAATATCACTCGAACGCAAATTAAAACCAAAATATTTCATTTTGTTTTCGAAACACATATATACATATCACGATAACCATATTTTACCTTCTGTGTCGAAAAAGGAAATACCGACAAATTCCTATTTTTATAAATTACGATATCACCTAAATATTAATTTGTATAATTAGCTTATTTGCTAGTAGGTATTCCAACGGTATATCCAGGTTGAACGCGTTCTCGGCTACCCTGTCAGCCACGGTTTGATGTACTTTTCAAACACCGTTCTGTTCTTCATCCAGTGAGTGTGCTGAACACCGGGTACGGTGTGGAGGACAATGTCACCTCGGGTATCAAGCGTCTTCAGTCCAAACGAGTCCCGCTCATAGAACTGGAAAAGGGTATGTAAATTATTTGATTAATCAACAAAACATTAAAATGTGATTTAGGTATGTAAATTATTTGATTAATCAACACAACAATAAAATGTGATTTATTAAAAAATCATGTCTATGTACTGCACATGAAATTGTCAATGACACGACAACAATATGAAACTTGAACATTACCAATGTATGTCACCAAATCATTATCAGCGTACATTCATGACATCCGATCATTGTCCGTTATATAAACCGAGTATATTCGTCTATGACACACGACTATTGTAAAGGAATAACACCAGTACATCGTGAACAAAAAACACCAGAACACTATACGTGTATGACACCAGAACACTGTACGTGTATGACACTAGAACAATGTACGTGTATGACACCATAACACTGTACGTGTATGACACCAGAACACTGTACGTCTATGACACTAGAACAATGTACGTGTATGACACCAGAACACTGTACGTGTATGACACAGGAACACTGTACGTGTATGATACCAGAACACTGTACGTGTATGACACTAGAACACTGTACGTGTATGACACTAGAACAATGTACGTGTATGACACTAGAACAATGTACGTGTCTGACACTAGAACACTGTACGTGTATGACACCAGAACACTGCACGTGTATGATATCAGAACACTGTACGTGTATGATACAAGAACACTGTACGTGTATGACACTAAAACACTGTACCTGTATGATACCAGAACACTGTACGTGTATGACACTAAAACATTGTACGTGTATGACACTAGAACACTGTACGTGTATGACACTAGAACACTGTACGTGTATGTGTATGACACTTGAACACTGTACGTGTATGATACTAGAACACTGTACGTGTATGACACTAGAACACTGTACGTGTATGACACTAGAACACTGTACGTGCATGACACTAGAACAATGAACGTGTATGACACTAGAACACTATACGTGTATGACACCAGAACACTGTACGTGTATGACACCAGAACACAGTACGTGTATGACACTAGAACACTGTACGTGTATGACACTAGAACAATGAACGTGTATGACACTAGAACACTATACGTGTATGACACTAGAACACTGTACGTGTATGACACTAGAACACTGTACGCGTATGACACCAGAACACTGTACGTTTATGACACTAGAACACTGTACGTGTGTGATACCAGAACACTGTACGTGTATGACACTAGAACAATGTACGTGTATGACACCAGAACACTGTACGTGTATGACACCAGAACACTGTTCGTGTATGACACCAAAACACTGTACGTTAATTAATATACATTGTAAGTGTATGACACTAGAACACTATCAGTGTACGAAACTAGAACACTATCAGTGTATGACACTAGAACACAGTCAGTGTGTAACATTAATATACTGTCAGTGTATGATACTAGAACACACACAGCGTATGATATTAAAATACTGTCAGTGTATGACACAAACATACTGTCATAGGATACACTAGAACAAGAGCACTATCAGTGTATGGCACAATAGCACTATCAATATATGACACTAAAACACTGTCCAGTGTATGGCACAAGAACACTTTTAGTGTATGATACCAGAACACTTTCAGTATATGATACCAGAACACTTTCGGTGTTTGACACGAGAACACTGTCAGTATATGACACAAAAACATTTTCAGTGTTTGACATTAGAACACTATCAGTATGACACTAGAGCATTGTCAGTGTATGACACTAGAACGCTTTCTGTGTATGACACTAGAACATTGTAAGTGTATGACACTCGAACATTGTCAGTGTATGACACTAGAACATTATAAGTGTATGAGACTAGAACATTGTCAGTGTATGACACTAGAACATTGTCAGTGTATGACACTAGAACGCTTTCTNGAATAATTACTGTTCAATAAGTTTGAATACGGACTTAGAAATCAGAAGTTGCTGTTGCCTAACGGCCCCTCTCTGGGGGGCCCTTTGAAAACCGTTGCACCACTTGTGTTTACTGCCTAGTCAGGTGACGTTATCGGCGCTATTTTTAGTAGGGCTTTCCCGAACAATTCAAGTGGTCAAACTGGACATTTGGAACGGACTATGAATATGGGGATAGCGAGGAAACATAAGTGGAAGTGCAAACAATACATACATTCATTAAAAAAAAACGCCTTTTCACGTGATGTCCCTTTAATGATAGCATTTACTAAATTATGTTTTTAACCAAAATCATATTCGTTATACAACATTAAACCCACGTCACATTAACCCGTCTCTTGACAACCAGTTAGGTTAATATCTACAATACACTCATTTATTACTACAAATTATATGTACGTGTATATACCTTCTTAAAACTGTATGAATTACATGTTTTCTTGTCAACACAACACACTTTATGTTTTATTACCCAGTTTATACCATTATATTCTTCATGTATTTAATTATCAAAAATACATACATTCTTTGGTTCATCCACATGCAATACTCTTTTGCTAATTATCCACATTAAATACGTAATATCAAAGATTTCTTTAATATTTTTATTATCCACATTATATAATTTCTATATTTCACCTATATTTCATTATCCACATTACACACTTTCTATATTTCATTATCCACATTACACACTTTATATATTCATTATCCACATTACACACTTTCCATATTTCATTATCCACATTACACACTTTATATATTCATTATCCACATTACACACTTTCCATATTTCATTATCCACATTGCACACTTTCCATATTTCATTATCCACATTACACACTTTCCATATTTCATTATCCACATTGCACACTTTCCTTATTTAATCATCAATATTAGACATTTTCTGGTTATTCTCTATTATCCACATTGCACACTTTCCTTATTTAATCATCAATATTAGACATTTTCTGGTTATTCTCTATTATCCACATTGCACACTTTCCTTATTTAATCATCAATATTAGACATTTTCTGGTTATTCTCTATTATCCACATTGCACACTTTCCTTATTTAATCATCAATATTAGACATTTTCTGGTGTTTCTCTATTATCCACATTACACACTTTCCTTATTTAATCATCAATATTAGACATTTTCTGGTGTTTCTCTATTATCCACATTACCAATTTTTCAAATTTTATTATCCACATTATACATTTTCGATATTTCATTATCCACATAATACTTTCTATTTTTCATTTTTCACTTTACACATTTTCGATATTCACGAATAATCATACTTTCTATATTTTACTTTCCATAAATCTTCTGTTCTATATTTAATAATCCAAAATTCATATATATCTACATTTTATTATCGACAATTCAATCTCTCTATATTTCACTATCTAAATTACATACCTTCTGTCCTTTCATTGGTACCACTGTGTCATTGGCATCATAAAATCCAAATTGGCTGAAAAGGATGGAAGAAGAATCACCAGTCTTGTCTAATAAAATCGATAAGCATAACAGAAAACATATTTAAGTCCAACCACATTAAGCTTTTTATTGCGTAATAAGAATAAAATACACGAATCTTGTTATGATATCGTTTCATTTTGGTAAGATTTAAAATTAGATAAAATAACATTATTACATTTATTTCCATTATATTTTGTAAGATATGTTTAACATGTACAATTTTTGAACATCATATAGGCCTACATGCGATTAGCATTGTAAGAAAATGGTATGTTGTGTCACCTCCTAGGTGTCCCCGTCAGGATCACTTCTGTGACCAATGTTACGGAACACAGTAGAGAACACAACTGATTGGCTCAACTCATTATAATTCATTAGGATATTTATCTTTTTATATTACACACTTTTCCACATTTTGTTTTTGTTCTGCCTTGTCTCTCCTATTACACCTATTGTTTAGCTATGCTGTGGTCCTGTAAAACCTTTCTGTGGTGATGAACAATATATATTTTATCAAATAATGCGGAATTGCACGGATATAAAACCCCTGCTAAATGCTTTACAAATAACTGAAGTCTACGCAATATTCATATAAAGACGCGAGTGCTCAAATCATGCAGTTTTAAATAGTATTAGTATGTTTCTTTATGAATAGGTGTGTTGATTCAGGTGATTTCCCTAACTACATGACTTGTTCTATTACGGCGACACTATATCAGTACACAATACCTTGACTGCCAGGGAGTGATCACACCGTCGTCAGGCCCGCCTATCATTATCAGTTTCTTCAATCGCAGAAAATTGTTTTTATAAACTGTAAACAGAAAGCATTAAATAAACTTAATCACACAACTTGACGTTATATTATTATAGTAACAGCCTTCACTTGTTTACATCCATATTTGTAAGGTGACGGGTTCACATGGATAGGTTTCCGTTTCGGATTCAACTGGAAACTGGACAAATCCTTACGCGATAGCAACACTTTAAAACGCTTTATCTCAGATAAATAGTTTGATATATATGTAGTTGTTAACGATATAATTGATATACCATGCTTTGTTTGTTTGTTTGTTTGTTTGATTTTGTTTAACGTCCTATTAACAGCTAAGGTCATTTAAGGACGGCCTCCCCTGTGTGCAAGATGCATGCGTGTAGTGTATGTGTGTGTATTTTGGGAGGCTGCGATATGTTCGTGTTTATCTCCTTGTGATAGCGCGGAACTGATGCCGACTTTATAGTGCTACCTCACTGAAACATACTGCCGAAGACACCCAGCAGGACGCCTCACCCGGTCACATTATACTGACAACGGGCGAACCAGTCGTCCCACTCCTAATTTGCTGAGCGTTAAGCAGGAGTAGAAACTACCATTGTTAAAGACTTTGGTATGTCTCGGCCAGGGGACAGAACCCAAAGCCTTCCTCACAGGGGCGAACGCTCAACAAATGGCCAAAAGATATACCATGCAATCTGTAAGTTATTGGAGCGTAATTATTGTTTGTAAATAAACTTGGTTATTGTACTAGTAGCATTGAAAAATGAATATTGCTAGATCGTAAAGTTACATTATAAATGACATCAGATAAAACCAGTAACTAGACATATCATAGGAAAGTATGTCCGACACATGTCATTAGTGTTGTGTGTCAAATGAACACCAATTTCAGAAAACAAATGCATATATATATAGGGGTTAGCTCCCTTGAATCAATAGTCATACGTACGGGTTGCATTAGGCGTGGCAGTGTCGTTGTCTAAGGCTGCTAAAAACTTGTTATACTGCGTGTAAAGCGCCTCCTGGTGGGGATCTTCAATAAAATATTTATCGTTAGTTTTGACATTAACACAAATATAGCTACAAAATGCTTGGAAATGGGAAACTATCATGCTGTTAATGATATATTACTACTATCAGATTAGAAAGGCCATTGCATTAGATACAATTATAACGAAAACATGATCTAGTCGGTAAAGTTATCATTTTTTAAAGACATATATAAACAATCATAATGAAATCAGACTTGTCTAAAAACAACTCATATATTACCGTGCCAGTAGTTGGCTATCGACCACTGCTGTCCCCCTTCCGTGTAGAAAAACCTGTTTGAAAGGTATGATTTATAAATAAGAGAAAAAAACACATCAAATATTATGCAAATGTGATTTTTTACCTCTTGATTTTGGCAGAATAAGAATACAAACAATGTCATTTATACTTTCCCCTTGTTGCAAAATATGATTTCTTGCTGATACCAAAGCAAAACTAACTAGAAGTTTATTCAAAATTCTAAAATTCAATTTTTAGAAACAATCAGTATTTGAGTCAGTCATTTTACGTGTATGTCAACCCACCTATACACGTTTTCTTTGAGGTAGTTCGGAAAAAAGTACTTCAAATACATCGAGTCTGAAACAAAAACTATACATTTTAGAATTTACGGTGACTTTAAGGACGGCATTACAAATTGTCTTACTTATATTGAACTGTCCTGTTTGGGTAGTAGTTCAGGTAACAAAACAGACAATTATAACAATATTTAACTGCAAATAGTTATTATCATTTTTATTAAAATATCTCTTTTGAAATGTACCTCCAAACTGCCCTGCCTGTGGTGAGCTGACGGAGATGAAGTTGTTTACGTTGTGAGGCAGTACAGAAAGCAGTCCCCTGCATATCAATCCGCCTTAAACAATAAGTCACATAGGGTAAGCGTGCTATGTACAATGTGCATGTTTTAATATACCTGATATTGATTGGAACAAACACACAACTGACTTGATTAATTCGTCGTGTTGCTATGTTGGTTTTCGGATGCTTAGAGATGTTAAAATAGCTATGTTAGTATCACTATATTAAAACGCTTGCAACACTAATCACTTGATGTACAGAAGTTAACATGTGCTATAGTGTGTAAGTAAATACTGACATTCTCCTTTTCTACTTTCTCAATACTGTGTTTTTATTATCGACTACATTTTATAATTAAATATTCGGACATTTAAAACAAAATTCGGTAAAATTGTTATCAGGGCATATAGTTTAATATGCATCAGACAAAAACATAACAATACCTTGCGAGAAACAGATGAGGTTGACCCCCTCTGGGCTATTTACCAAGCTTTCCCTGACCATTTCCTTAATGGTGTTGATCTGTGTCCACATTGGCACCACGCTTTGTAAATGGTTGAAGGCATCTATCGCAGTTACATTGGTTCCGGGGAATGCCTGTCATTAAAACAGGTCCGTTATGCAGGGATTGTTTTACATGAAAAACTGTGGCGTTGCTTTCGCATTGCAATAAACATATTCAATACACTCCCACACAGTTAACGAGATGGACAACTACCGTACTATTCAGTTTAGTACAGGGTAGTCTATGCCCCATATATTTGTAACTTAGCACATGTATATATATCTAATCCGCGTTCCAAGACAAAGGGGAAATAACCAAACTGATCATTTATAATAATGCCGCATATTTCCCGCAAGTAGTTTTGACTGGTGGCATGAAGACAATGTTCAAGTAGTAATACGTCCATTTGCCATCTTTCAACACTATAGTTATGCATACATTTTTAGATATAATTCTTGTGGTTGATTTATACTGATGAATACACGGTTTCAGAGGAAAAACTCTTTACTGTCCAATTAACAGATTATTGGAAAAAGATGTACCAAGATCACTTTAGAATGTCCTAAAATAATGTTCATATTTATATAGATGTCAGGTAAATATGTTCGAAGAGATGCAATCGTACGTGATTTTGATTATTGGAATGAAATTTCACCACAATGAGGAATCAATTCAGTTGAAGACCTAAACGTAACACATGAACCATGCAGTCTTCGATCTGATATGTGTATAATCATTATTTGCATTGTTTATTACAACTAACATGTTTATACTTGCACATGGTGGGAGTTATGTCCCTTCCTCCCTACAATCATCTAGTTAAAAGATAATATTTCATTTGAATTCTTGACCAGCGATGGAACTATAGCCAATGTCCATAAGTAATACAACAATAAGTCGGTATGACATGTCTTAATTACTTACATGCTGTATTTACTTAGACAGGTACATGTACGTCCATTTGCAACCAACAGAGAGGACTTATACAGGCTTAAACCTGGTGCCTAATCCTAGGTGGTCAATACATGTTGTTAAAATCAAAGACAATTCATTGATAGACATGATAGTTATTTTGTGATCATTATGGACGTTAATCACTTAACATGGACGCCATATAACGAACTGTGGTGACAAATTGATATGAGGTAGATCAGTATTCACTGGAGACATACGAATATAACGTAGGTCGGTGTAAACTGGAGATGCACCAATAGATACACGAATATGACGTAGTGTGGTGTATAATGGAAACATACGGATGTGACGTATGACGGTGTATACTGGCGAAATACTGGTGTGACGTAGTTAGGTTTATACTGGAGATGAACGGATATGACATAGTTAGGTTAATACTGGACATAAGGATGTGACGTAGTTAGTTTATACTGGAGACATACCGATGTGATAAAGTAAGGTTTGAACCGGTGTCAGCTGAAGTATCTGTCAGTCATTAACGTTATAGCTGTTGTTCAAAACAACGGTGTTCTGTACTCTCATAAACGTTTAAACCCACTCCGTCGATTGCAGCAGAGTCAATGCAATATAGCAACGCTAATTGATTATTTGATGATAATCAAAATGCGCCCTTTGGAATTTATGCATATTTGAGTGATTCAACATCTGGTTTTCGCCCAAAAGCAAACGCAACAACATTCATGCTTAACAATGAATCAATTTTGGTATTGCTGCCTGCTTCATGCATGAATGAATGTGTCACGGGGAGAACGATTTTTATTGGTTCATTTATAATTTCATATCCTAATTAAATGTTCATTCACACAGAGGCTGACTACATCAAATACATGATAATGTGAGAGTAATTTTGAGAAACGGAAATTAGATCGGTTCCTGACCTTCAAACAACCAGGAAGATGAATACGTTTTTAGAATCACTTCGTTATATTATGGCTCGCCTATATTCACAAAACGCCCTCAGCATTGATTAAGATATCGGAGTTTTGTGTCTCTAAGATCTTTACCAGACGGGATTGACGTAAGCATTGCACTGAACAACAAATGTATACATATATGCGTCACAAACCTCCTCGACAAACCCCCTCAGCGGGTCAGCTTCATCAGGTGCAGCTATGATTCCATGCATGAAAATGATAGGTTTGATACTTTCAGCTTGATCAACTAGCGTACAATACATTGATACATATACTAGTAGCTTGTACATGTACTGTGTCGCCATATTGAAAGCTGGAGTGTACAATGGTCTCCTTATCATACTTTGAAATTGGCCTGATTACTAAGAACAGATAACAGTAAGAACAGACGATGTTTTCCCACTTCTGAATATAGCTTTTAAAATTTAGGACGAAAGACATGTATTGAACAAATTCAACAATAACCTGAGCGTGATATCCTACACAGTTGTACAATTTCTCTTTTAGTTTTTGTGATATATTTAGACATTGATCTGCTTTCGGTTGACATTCATAGGCAATATGAACGCCAACTGGACAAATGTAAATTCTATGAAGCTCGCTAGCCCTAGCCTTTTTCAAGATGACTATCATATTGCCCATCAGTACTGTTCGAACTAAGTAGGGGAAGTGGCAGTGTCATAGAGTGGTTGATATTAAGCGTTGACATTTCTCTTTGGTATATATAAATTTGTGTTACATATTTACTTAAAACAGTTTTTATAATGATAAACCTCATTTTAGTTCATCTTGAATATTTTACTTAAACGTTCCACAATACGTACATTATGTACATGTATGGTGAATGCTAAAAATTGTAAATCGTCTGTGTGAGCGAGAAACAAAATATTTTCTCCCGTGAACCACATACTACACGCTCAGATTCAAATAACCAAATGTTTCTCTCTTGAAGTCTGCTTTCTGATAGAATATTGAGTCGCTCTTAAAGAAAAAAAGATAAAAAGATCAAAGAACACATAACACATAACACGAATCTTTCCGTAGCAGATGAAGAGAACTTTAACCATCTAAGATGGACATTTTAGAAAGGGCTTTGCGAATTTAATGCTTGCAAAGGAAAGGAAATGGTACGTTTTGTAATGTTCGTCATGAAACACACTGAACTATGATTATGAAAATAGGCGGCGGACGGGCAGGGGGTGACCATAGTAATAATGCATTTGGTCACTCAGAATTCTTTCTCTTACAATGGAAAAGGTATTTGCTTCTCAATCAGAGATTTCATACCAGGGAATTATAATTAAACAACATCAACAACTCCACCTTCAGTAGACTGAGGGTTTGAGAAGAAGGCATGTTCTCTTTAACGACATGTTGCACGACGATTTCGCCATGTTTCTAGCAACTCACCATTTCCCTTGCACGATCTTTTTACGTCAGTAAGTGTAGCATATATGTAGCAATCTTTTTGTCAAATTGGTTTCCCATGCGTCGCTCAAAAAGGAACATACATGTAATACCAAAATTGCAGTGTAAATCAAAGAATTGTGTTTCATTGTGCTGATCATACCCATGGTATAACAAACATTGTGGGTAGTTTCCGTATAACGTAGTATCAGACATCAGAAAATGTGTAGCTGAGAGACCAAGTGGTGAGTATAATCCACCAAACAATACAAACCAGAGTAGTTTTTTGAAAACGTGTTCACTTCAGTAACTAATGGCTGGTATTGCAGACAGTAAATATAGGGATACAAACGGTGACACTACCGAAGCTTTGGAAGGTCATGCCTGTATGGTAATTAAAATAATCACCGACCAATATTAGAAAAGGTATTGGAAAATAGAGCAGACTCGTTCTAACGTCATGCTACCACATTGGTACACGGTCAGAAAATGGTTCGAATAGTACTTTAAAATCAAATTTGAGCATTTTCCACTGACTGTATAACTAAAGAGATATTTTTCAGCATTTCCACCGAATAGTTTTGTTTTAGAGAACATGTTAAAAGTACTTCAAAGTAAATATATTAGAAAACCAGTAAAAACGACGTACGTCGACGAAATTTTGGAGGATTTTGAAGGGGTTAATTATATGCATGTTTATATTTTGGTTTCTAGTCATTATAACCGGATTATGTAAAAGAAAACAATATGTTCTGTTGCAATCGGCACATCAACTAGGAGAAATTAACAATAATTGCATAGCCTTTGATATGGTATACAAATTCGGGTACTATTCATTGCCAAAAGAACTGAAGTAACCTCACTGCGAATCTAGAGTTCTTTAAAAAAACAAATCACCTAGAAACAAAACTTTTTTACTGAAAATGAGCCACCATGTCAATGGGTAGTCTATGCGGAGAATCAAGAAACTTTGCAGATACAATATCTGAATTGTTAAATATTACACGGAAACTGTCAACATTGTACCAAGTGTGGTAGCGTGACGTTACCTGCAGCATAACTACATGTACGTCTGGATTTTATTTCCCAATAATTCATAAAAGTAAAAGCATTTTTTTAAGTACAATCTTTATTTCTCGTTAAAATGATTTTACATAAATTGTAAGTTATTATTCTATATGCATTCATCTTTTTCTTTTCAGATATTTAACATTTCTTAATATTTTTCAAGGAATTATAAGTAAAGCTAAAATAAATATGTTTGTTTTTCTTCCTTAGATAGTCATCGCAAAGGAAACATACAAACTATTCACTGAAAATGTGAAAAACTCGGGCAAGAACCCTTCATTATTCCGAGAATACGAAACTAGGTCATAGTCAGTGTATAAAGGCCATTCTTCACGTTTAGTTACAACATTGTACTTACTTACATCTCCCCTATTATACGAGTCGGAACGACCACGCTATTATTTCAACAAGGACTGCCATAATACATAATTATTTGTACCATAAACTATTCTTAATCATGTATGAATAGTATACTACACAAACTATGATAAGCTATATTGAAACACATTATCATTATTAACGCTTCATTAAACACTAACATGCCTTGGTACGATTCAAAATGGATAGTGATACTGAAATATTGATACGTGTACTAATTAAATCCACCGGCAGTGTGACCCATTATCCCAAAGTCGACATGACATACAATATAAGACGCATGGGTAGGTTGATAAGGTAAAAAAAAAACCAAATGTGAATATTCATGACAGTCAATTAGTTTTACCTGTACGATACATATACCATTACAGAATTCCATTGTGTACATGTAAGGCTGTTTCTGCCATCCCCTATCATTAAGCGTACACAGTACATAACGAGGATACCGGTATTGTTGTTTTTGAAAAGCAACTATTTTTATGTAATGAAACGAACATTTATGCCTGCCATGGTTCAGTGGTACAGGATCCATAATCTTAATGACACATCAGAATGAATATTTGATCACTGATAGTTTCATCATTGTCCTGGGATTTGTGGAATCACCAAGAGATTAATTCTGCCTTGTCAAATATAGGTTGTTTTGCTGCTGGATCGGATAAGATCAACATGGGGTTTTTTTCATATGAAATTCATTTCGTATTACAGTAAGGTTCAATAAGTCCGCTTAAAGATTGTATGATTACCATGTAAAAGAATTAGTTGAAAACACTGATTAATAATCGGAAAGGAGATGTGTAAACAAATGGTTGATACATATCAACACTGGCATTATATTTTCATGACAGTCAATTGATTTTACCGACATTATAATACTGACATTATATTTATAAACCCCTTATGTAACATAATTAGATGTTACAAAATTACACATTACTAGGACTAAATTACACAAAGTCCTTTTCTCTATAAATAACTGTAAAGGCAACAAAATTAGTTTTTTTCTGTTGGAGGGAGGGCGTAATACATCGTACAAAACTACGTGTGCATGATCTCTTGGAAGGCTCGTTTCCTGCCCAACATTCATGTCAGCACCTGGCTTACGTCACATCATAAAAGTCTAAAGGTTGCTAACGAACAGAGACCAGATAAAACTCTTCAATAGGAGGATAGAAACACAGAAACCTTAACGCTAGAAAATGTTTCAATGTAAATAGAAACCTCTCACACGTAGAAAAAACAGCCCTTCCAATTTGATTAGTCAACAGGACGCATATGTACATTAAAACTAAAATGTTACTGCTGAGGAATGTAAACCATCGGGAGGCTAAAGTCGCCACGTCGGTCGTAGAGTTGGGCAGTGAGGTGACTCATTTTGTAATACCGTTGGTACACATGAAATATCAAATAATTTGGCAGTGAGGTGGCCATTATCGTCGCACAGTAAGTTTCTTAGAAATTGGTAGTGAGTGCACCATCAATTACAAAAATATAATCACATGAACGAAGGATACACCGAAACAACTCACAAAACCAGGGTCCGGAACTAGATAATTGAGCTTGAAAATAAAAATACCTAAGAGATACATGTAGGAACAATGCCATTATTACGAGATACCACTGTAACTACACAGCTGCCTTGTTTGAGAGATATCGTCATATTATATCGAACGGGCACGGGAACGCATGCGCATGCGGTTATAACATTCATTACACAGAAGACCTCTGGATTGGTAATTATTAAACTATTTTTTTTATTTAAAAAAAAAAGTATTTATGAAGATTATTATGTGTCTCTCTGGCGATGTTGAATAAATGACGTCATAAAAAAGGCCTTGAATTAGTGTTATTTGATACTTATTTTATAAATCATGACCTAAATAATTTATTGCCTCGGGAGGTATTCAATAAAAAAAAATCTTGACTCATTTAATGAATCTCACGTAAAAAAAATGATAGATATACATTACATATTAACCAGAAAAATAACTATTATCGACTGAGGGACTAAAAAACTTGTCGAATGCTTCATTCTATGTTCAACATGTTATATTTTTAAAGGGGTTGTCGTTTCGGTTATCAAAACATGCATGGGTATTTATAGTAACCAATGTGTATAACCAAAAACGTTCCGTTTTCCCTATACCATCGTGTGACGTAGCCCATACTGTTGAGGCCATAAAGGCTTCATTGCAATGTACAAATACAATGACGGTAATTATAACATAATCGATGTGATGTAAAGGACTCCCCATACGCTTTTCAGAACACAATAGTTAAGCAGACGCTTGTGAATTCGATGAGGTCACCACAGCACCCACTTCAATTTGAAATGGACCTGGTCGTCGTCCTGTTTGTTCGGAACCTCCAGAACTGCGCAGGTGACATTGGAAACATCACCTATCAACGAAAGTACAGTACAATTAAATATGTTTAATTCAACACAATCGATACAATGAGAATAATAAAAAAACAGTCATTAATTTATTCTTTTTAAATAGTATAATTAGTTGTAGCACACACACATCAATCACGTCAACAAAATTTAAAAAATGCTCAATATACCAAACATTAACACATTTCATGTTAAACATTATAAATAAGTAATATGCCATATCGACACGACATGTCGATCAGTTTCAAACTAATAGTTTTAATAATATAAGAGTGAATACCCTTTCTAAACCGGAAGTCCTCTTCCCATTCTCCAGTGGCGGTGTCAAAGTACTCTACTAATCGTACTTGCTGTCCTGTTTCCAATACTGACCCACCAAAAACGTACAATTTGTGTCCTGTCACCACAATACAACACATCAAATAAATAAAAAGTAAAAGGCGAGCTTCTCAAAACTAGAAATGTATATCACTCTAGTTAATCACATGACCATCTTAGAACAAATGGCGATTTGCAGTATCTTTTAGAGGTAAAACATTAAAAACCCACAAAATGTGTCCAATATTCGTTGAGGAATTTTGAATCGTACATGTCGGAGAAGTTTTCTAACTTGAAGAACTTACCGTCAAACCATATTGAGAATTATGTAAATAACGTTTATGCATTGCCTTCACGTTGAATGTTACATGGCCAATAACCAGATAATCGTGTCAATTTTTTTTTTCTATAACAATGGAAGGTATTAAACAACTGTATAAAATATCATAATCTGTTGAATCAAAAACTGTGTGTTAATATGCAACACATGCCCTACTGCATCCAAAGGCACTTTATCGTTAAATACTACTAACGCGAGGGTCCCATTACAGAATAAGCAGACAATCATTAAATACCAAACATAACGAAAAAATATCACATGTAATGCCCACGTACCGATAGCGGCTACACCAGCACTGTGGCGGGCGAAGGTCATTGTTGGCAAATTGTTACACCATGGGGACACGAGACGTGAGGACAAGGCATCGCCTTGAGTCTCCTCTAGGGCAGAAACACTAGTGGCGTAGGAAAATATACGTCTCTCCGTTACAAACTTGAACCGCCCAGAAAAATCCTTATCCTTCCGACATGAAACACCTTCAATGATAAATAGTTTTCATGATTTAGAACGAATTAGTCATCCAGTTCGAAAATAGTTTCTGACAATATCAAGCCAATGTAAGATGAAATGATGAGCTGGCATGCTGTGCGCCTAATTCAAGTATAATTTAGAACCACTTGAGATGCATGTGAAGCTCGATGTTAACGTCAAGTGTGATTTTATATCACGACAAAGATAGACGATTAAATCAGACAGAGTCAGTATTTCTGTACTTATGATCTTACCTCCGATAAAGTAAAACGACCGTCCTTGTTTGACCATGGCAAATCTGTCTAAATTGACTGGCAGTTTCTGAGGATACTCCCTGTCTAGCTCTTCCCACTTCTGGCCTTCGTACACCCTGCAATGAACGCATAGTACTAATCACAAACTACGCTATCAAATTACATATAATACATACTGTTCAGGACAAGGTGATGATGCAGCGTTAGGGAATAGGCAGTAATTTGATTATGTCAAATTTCTGTTCTTTTCGTAATCGGTTAGTGATTCCTTATTAGTATATCCCACCTTACGCAAACATTTCAATGGATGGTTTGATAACGAATATTCTCTCTTTGGCTGTTTTAAAGTTGCACAATGTTTAAGTATCGTTTCATAGCATGGAACATGCTTAATTGTATTATATTTTATTAGAACCAATGTTAGTTTATAGATAACGAAGACAACATCATCGGAGACATCATTGAAAAATACCGGATGTCGCCCACCTTATAATAAATTTGTTTTAAGTAGTTTCAGTGCTCTACTTAGTGTAATAGAGTGTGACTATACTTAATATAAACGAATAATTATTACTATATGCAGGAAACGACCTCTAACGAAATGACCCGAGAAGGAGGGTTTAATACCTTCACTATATGAAATATTGGAAATTCATGAATTTGTAGACGATGAGGTAAGAAATAATACATTAATGAATACAACTCATTAATCAATCTGATTTGTGGAATTTTATCTTGTTTTTATTGATCTTTTCTTGAATGAACCTAAGGTGCATAATCTGTCTGTCTGTTGCTACGTATTACAATGTCATGACGGTTAGTAAAGGTGACATTTAGAATTCCAAAAGAAGAATGACCAGAGCGAGCGGGAAAATGCTCGAGTATGTAGCGCAAACCACTATAGAGCGAATAAGTCACAAATGACAGTGAATTTCGTATTATAATCTATATCTTTAGATGGTACCTGGTCATTTACAGACACGCCACGAAATGGTGATTATAATGTTTTAAGTAATCGTTAGAAATAATGAGCAATGTCAAGAAATATTAAATTCGGGGACTTACAACGAATGACTTTTAACTGTTACAAAATGACCCAAAACTGTATAGGTATATTCTTTACTAATATATACAATGCCATGCTGTTTGATGAAGATGACATAAGCAAGCATTATAGAGTGGAACGAAACAGAAACGTCAATAACACTGAGAGCATGCAACATCAAAATTGAACATGTAAATTGGTAGGACGCGAGATTCCATTTTCAAAGGAAACGATCGTTTTAAATTCAGTGCTGTCCTTTGTAAAGCAAGTTGCATCTACATTTCATAGTTTCGATGAATTACTGGTACCTAACTTGTTTGATTAGGCTTATTACGAACATCGATCCATACATTGCCGTACATAAATGACACATTCGTCAACTGATTGAGCATAGGTTTTCTCGCTTAATCTCCAAAGTAACTTGTCATTGCTATTGATTGGTGGTTGTCTTATTTGCTCACGCTATTGAGGTATTAGGCGGCAATCAATAGACATATATCAAAATATCTATAGCAAACAACATGTTTATACAGTTCAAAATTATAACTTCAAGGTGTTTATTCTCCGAAGTTACATAATTATATATAAAAATGCTATTGTTTGCTAAAGTGTAATACTTCACTATTCATCTAACAAACATCGTATACAGTCAGCTTGTCCTCATCACCAGTAGCTATATCGCTCACCTCACTTAAATCTTGTTACGGTGTAAAATTAATATTGCATGCATGTTTATTTGTGCTTGTATTACGTTTGGACTTTAATTTCACAGAAAAAATAATAATTTGCTGATGAAATATCGACACTTAAGTCTTTATAAAAAGCGGTTATAGACAAGATGCTTCCCTTAAGTATAGCAGACTTTATATAATAGAGTACAAATTTATCCTTAAACATGGCATATTATCAATTTTAAATACATATATGTCCATCAAGATCCTTGCTACGAATATAATTTGCAAAACGCGTGTTTGATATTTTTGTCATTTACATGCTCTTTTATTTAGAAAAAAACAGGCTTGTAACTCTGTAAAAAACAAAAGGGAAAGAAAGAGTGCTGAATTTTAAATGGTCAAAAACAGAAATGTTATATAGCTAGTTTGATATTCACAAGTTAATACAAATAAAAAGGAAGATAGTTCTTTGTACTCGCAAAACAGACAGGCCTGTCCATAAAGATCTCTGAAAGTAAAAGGTACTCAAAACAGACAGGCCTGTCCATAAAGATCACTGAAAGTAAAAGGTACTCAAAACAAACAGGCCTGACCATAAAGACCTCTGAAAGTAAAAGGTACTCTTAAAACAGACAGGCCTGTCCATAAAGATCACTGAAAGTAAACTTTACTCTTTTAACAGACAGGCCTGTCCATAAAGATCTCTGAAAGGAAAAGGTACTTAAAACAGACAGGCCTGTCCATAAAGATCACTGAAAGTAAACTTTACTCTTTAAACAGACAGGCCTGTCCATAAAGATCTCTGAAAGTAAAAGGTACTTAAAACAGACAGGCCTGTCCATAAAGATCACTGAAAGTAAAAGATCCTCTTAAACAGAAAGGCCTGTCCATAAAGTTCTCTGAGAGTAAAAATTACAACTCTACTCCACTTTTCATTTAAATATGTTTAAACTTTGGAGTGTTTTTCTTCCATGACAAACAAAAATGATCTTTTTATAGCTTTTGGAGAATTGTACATCTCTCTTTCGTTGCCATTTCCTGCATAGTAGCATAGGTTAACTATAGTTTTGTCAGTATATATGTCCCCAGATCGGCCAATGTAGGTTTTGTTTTATTCCTTAAATTTCTAACAACTACAATTCTGTAAAATGTATAGCAAGATGTGATGACTTGCAATACCGCTTTACAAAAATACTTTAAAAAAGTGATATTAATACATTTAAACTTATGTTAACATTGTATGACCGGTAAACCTACTGGCGTATCCGACTCAGCCAACTATTACTATTATCGTTATTTCTAATAATATTTATTCTGTTTTATTTTTTCGATAAACACCTTCTGTCCAAACGAAAACGATTTGGTTCTGAGAAGTTACAAAAGTAGTATGTATCCTCTATGGACATGGCCGTCATAGTGTAATGAACGGAAATAAAAGACATAACAGTCAGGTATAATCAACCGGACTGGACAATTATCTCATAGTAGTCTTTGTTGTTCAAACTTTGCTACAGGCAAAGCAAAAATATTGATAACATTACTATTTTGGAAGACAGGTTGAGAAGTAATAAAATTCCCTTATATAGATTATTTTACAACAGTTGTGGTATATAATATAGGACAAAACAATGAACAATGCGTCTTTTTACCTATTTTTGTATTGTTAATAAATATTTAGATAGTTTACATGGCTTAATTGGTTGACAGCTACAGCCACCCACCCCCGCAATGTCTTTGTGTACAATCAAAACACATTTAAGGGCGTTTTATATATGCATCGATCTATCTGACAAATATACAATTTAGGTTATTCATTCAATATGCAATGCGCACCTCTCAAATTGATAAAGATTGAAAAGGATAGTCATTCGATCAGGGTGCTTTTTATTTCTACAGCATGGGTATCTATATACCACAACGCATGGCTATCTCGACAATTGTCCCAACATTTAATTAAATGAGTTGAAAAGCAATACATAATTGCCTCTTTATTCTTGTTATAATGTTTACTCGTTCTATATATTTCAAAAAGATAGAAAATCAGAAAATATACACGTTTTCTACGGCGATAATGATAAAAATTGATGCATGTGGCTGTATGTCTAACGTTACTAGTATGAACTTCTCTCTGCAACCCCCGGCATCACTCGACCCAACACCCGTCGTTTGTTTTGACGCCTATTACTGGTTAACAATATGATTGTAACTGATATGCACGTCAATTTTTAGATCGATATAACAAAGGTTGTTATACAATAATAAATCAAAACACAACCGTTCACAGCGGGTAGACGTCGCGTCCGACTTACATAACGAGGAGTAGCACCTTCACTTTCATCTTCTCCGCTATATTTATGTAGTTACGAATAAAGTATTGCGGTATCATTTGACAACTACACACCAATGTATATACAGGTACATTCCTACTGAATTCATCCATGTCTTATCTGTTCCTTTTGTCTTTTTATATCACGATTTAGTAAAACTTTCGTCCGGATGTATTGACGCGTTGGAACATTTTGTCCTTGTGTATTGAGGTTTCGGTGAGTGTTGTCCTTGTGTGTTGAGGTTTCGGTGATTGTTGTCCTTGTGTGTTGCGGTTTTCGGTGATTGTTATCCTTGTGTGTTGAGGTTTCGGTGATTGTTCTCCTTGTGTAATTAGGTTTCGGTGATTGTTGTCCTTGTGTGTTGATGTTTCGGTGATTGTTGTCTTGTGTGTTGAGGTTTTGGTGATTGATGTCCTTGTGTGTTGCGGTTTTGGGTGATTGTTATCCTTGTGTGTTGGGGTTTCGGTGATTGTTGTCCTTGTGTGTTGAGGTTTTGGTGATTGTTGTCTTGTGTGTTGAGGTTTCGGTGATTTTTTTCCTTGTGTATTGAGGTTTCGGTGATTGTTGTCCTTGTGTATTGAGGTTTCGGTGATTGTTGTCCGTATGTGTTGAGGTTTCGGTGATTGTTGTCCTTGTGTATTAAGGTTTCGGTGATTGTTGTCCTTGTGTGTTGAGGTTTCGGTGATTGTTGTCCTTGTGTGTTGAGGGTTCGGTGATTGTTGTCCTTGTGTGTTGAGGTTGCGGTGATTGTTGTCCTTATGTGTTGAGGTTTCGGTTATTGTTGTCCTTGTGTATTGAGGTTTCGGTGATTGTTGACCTTGTGTATTGAGGTTTCGGTGATTGTTGTCCTTGTGTATTAATGTTTCGGTGATTGTTGTCCTTGTGTGTTGAGGTTGAGGTGATTGTTGTCCTTATGTGTTGAGGTTTCGATTATTGTTGTCCTTGTGTATTGAGGTTTCGGTGATTGTTGTCCTTGTGTGTTGAGGTTTCGGTGAGTGTTGTCCTTGTGTGTTTACCTAGTGGTAAATGTCTGTATTTGATGTCACTGTGATAATCTTGTCTGTGTGTGT